CAAACCCATAGCATGTACAACACCAAGAGTGACCCATAAACCATGGACTTTGGGTGATTACGATGTGTCAATGAAGTGTCATCAATTGTGACAAATGTACCACTCGAGGGAGGGATATTGATCATGGGTAGGATCTGCATGTGAGGGGCAGGGAATATATGGGAAATCTGTACTTTCCTTGTAATTCTGCTGTGAACCTAAACCTACTCTAAAAATGTCTTAATAATAAAAAAAGCAAATAAGTTTTAAAATGTGTGTTTTGGGGCCGCACCTGCTTTGCTGGGACCCCAAGCATAACCTTACCTGCCAGTGGGCAGCGTGATGACAAAGGAACTGGTCCTGGACTCATCCTCTTTCCCCCTAAATTTGCATGTCTCTCTCTCAAAGCACTATCCCTTCTTGTGGGCATGGAGCTCTCGCCTACAAGGAAATGCCCCTTGACTGTTCTCTGCCCCTTCCAGCCCCTTTAATTTTCCCTCTTTTATTCACCCGACCAAACACCCCAATCCTGTTCTCTCTGTTGTTCCTGACTCCCCCTCCAGCCTGACTTCTGGGCCCCACTACTGCCCCAGGCTGCTTCCCCCAGTGACTTCCTTCTTGTCAGATCCAGTGACCTGATGTTAGCACGGGATTCAGAGTCAGAAGGCCTGGGCAGGAGCGCTGTCACTCATCAGCTGTGGGACAGTGAGCAAACTGAAGCCCTTCTCTGGGCCTTGGGTCCATCACTATGAAAATGGTTTACAATGCCTGGCTTCTGTGAATGCCAAAGAGTTCTAAAGCTCAGATTCAAATATGTTAAGAAGGTTTGCTGCCCTGGCTGGTGTGGCTCAGTTGGTTGGGTGTCATCCCATGCACTGAAGGGTTGCCGGTTTGATTCCTAGGCAGGGCACATATAATGTGTAATCTCATTTAATACCCCCACAACCCTTTGAGTGAGGACTGTTCCTTCCTCATTTTACAGACAAGGAAGTGGAGGCATAGAGAGCCAAAGTGACTTGTCTAAGGTCAAACAGTCAGAAGGAATAGGAGCTACTCCAAAGCCTACACTCTATAGCTTCCTGTTGAAGGAGCTCAGTACAGATAAGTGGGAGGCATGGCAATATTATTATTAGGGCCTCTAAGAGTCAGCCTGGGAATTGTCACCACCCTGAGGCTAGGGATGGCAAGTGTGTTTGCGGGTGGGGGTGGGTACGTGAGTGATGCTCTCCCCTGAGGAAATGTCTTGCAATATACACACCTTTCTGCTTCATCCTAGACACAAGTGTCTTCTCAACATCCTGCCGGGGCCTCTCAGGCCTGACTGCCCCTCCCCTCTCTGGCAGGTTTTGGAGAAACAGGATTGGAGTTCCCCCTCCTACATGGGGGAGAGATTCCTCATCTCGTGAGGCTGACCCCGGTCTAGGGGCCTGGAGTTACTAATAGCAGCCCGCAGGGCTGTGTCATCCAGCGGGTGACTCAGGGCTCCAGGATCAGCCCCTTCCCATCCTGATGGGGCCTCCACCGGGTTGAGGGGCTTAGATTCCAAGCTATGACTCTGGTCAGGCTTAGAGGGAGCCCACCTGGGGGTATATCCTGCTTCCTGCCTCCTCTCCCAGGGTCTTGGCTAAACTGTGTTGTGGTAGTGGAAGGAGGGCTGGGGAAGTGGGGAAGGGGATGTGGTAACCAGAACCACTTCCTCCCATTGCTGTGTTGAAAACCAAGCTCTCCCCAGTTGCTCTTGATGAGGGTTGGGGAACCAGGGGGTAAAGGAGGAAGTTGGGAGGGAGTGAGGAAAGGAGACTTCTTGCTTGAATTGACTCCAGGAATCAATTTCCAGGGTTCCTGGTGGGGTGTTCTTTCCCTGCTTGCCAATTGGTAAAAACAGCCAGCTGGTCCAGAAGCAATCATAATTAGAGTAGCCCCGAACACTTCTTATGTGTCAGGCACTTGACATCTGCTAACTCACTTGACCCTTATAACCCCATGAGGTAAGCACTATTGTTAACCTCATCTTACAAATGGGGAAACTGAGGCATTGACCAATTATGCCAACTACTCAGATCCCACAGCAGGTCCATGCCAGAGCTGAGCTTTGGACCAAAGCAGCTTGGCTCCACAGTGCAGACTCTTAGCTACCATTCCTTCTTGCCCCCACACGCAGTCCCTGACTTGCTCTGTGACCTAAGAGAGGAAAATTCTCCACTCTGGGCCTGCCTCAGTTTCCTCATCTGCATGATGGGGGCAGTTGGAGTAGATAAGTATGCCTCCCTCTTGTGATGCTGGTCTTTCTGGTAATAAATCACTCATTTGATTTCTCCCTTACTGGACTCTCAAATCCATGAGCACGGACAATAGCTATCTTGGTCACTACTGTATTCCAAATTCTTTTAAAAAAAATACGTGTTTTTTTTTTTTAAAATTATTGATTACAGAGAGAGGAAAGGAGAGGAAGAGATAGAAACATCAATGATGAGAAAGAATCATCATGCAGCTCCCTCCTGCACACCTCCTACTGGGGACTGAGCCTGCAACCCAGGCATGTGCCCTGAACAGGGATCATACTGTGACCTCCTGGTTCATGGGTCAACTCTCAATCACTGAGCCACACTGGCAGGGCATATATTCCCAATTCTTTTTTAAAAAAAATATTTTTATTGATTTCAGAGAGGAAGGAAGAGGGAGAGATAGAAACATCAATGATGTGAGAGAATCATTGATTGGCTGCCTCCTGCATGCCCCTCTCTCCCCCCGAGGAAATGTCCACTGGGGATCAAGCTGTAACCCGGGCATGTACCCTTGACTGGAATTGATCTCAGGACCCTTCAGTCCGTAGGCCGACGCTCTATCCACTGAGCCAAACAGGCTAAGGCTTCCCAATTCTTATCACAATGACTAGCCTGTAAAAACTTAACCAATATTTGTTGAGTAAATGGTCTTTAAAGGTTTGGAGATCATCATCAATGGTCTGAGTATATGATGAAAGTTCTGGACCCTTTACCTAAGAAAACCAACATATGCCAGTGGGAGTGACTTGGCCCCTCGCACCCAGGGGACATTTGGCAATGTTTGGCAACATTTCTGGTTGACACAACTGGCAGGGGGAGGTGCCACTGGCATCTAGTGGGTGGAGGCTGGGGATGCTACAAAACATCCTACAACAGATGGATGGCCCCCACAACAAGGAATTATCTGGCCCAAACGTCAATAGTGCTAAATTTGAGAAATGTGGCATATATACATAGATATGACATATTTTGTACAATTGATGGCAAGTTAGAAGGTGGTTCATGGATTCTCTTAAAGTCCATGTCTGCCTCCAGATGAAGACCCTCTGGATTAAAGGGTCTCTTTGTTTCCATCTCTAAAATCATATTGCTCTGACCCCACACTCTCAAGTCTGGACTATAGCTCCCTTGGGTCCCTTGTCTTAGCTTCTGATTCCCCAAAACCTAGGCCTCCCTCTGATATTCAGTGGGTGCAAGGGATTAGGGGAAATGGGTCCAGGTTTTAAGTCTTCCCCCATCCCATCCTCCAACTCCTCTCCAACCCCTAGTTATCTCAGTTCCCTGTAAATGCCATAAACATTAAAAACTTCAGAACTAGGCAGCCCTAGGCTTGAATTCTGGTTTTGTGTATTAACTCACTGGGTGATTAAGGCATGTTCCTTAATTGCTCTGAGCCTCAGTTTCCTCCCCTGAAAATGGGAGGGATACTCAAACCTGCTCCCCAGATGGTGGTGAGAATGAGAGGAGATGCTTATAGGGGACTCATCACAGTACTCCACAGTAAATCTCAAAAAATGCACGACTATTAGGGCTCAGAGGTGAAGTGACTTGCCCAAGGTCACATAGCTGGGAAATGGCAGAGCTGGGACTGAAAACCAGGACTGTGTGACTCATTAATTAGTGAACTCTAAAGTTTCCCCTTTCCTACAAGGGAAGCTAGTTGTCTCTATCTCACAGACTCATTTATTAGATAAACATATAAAGTGCCTGGCACTGAGGAAGTCCTTTAAATGCAGCTTATTGAATTTTTACTGTTGTTCTTCCCAAGTAATGCCTTGAAGAAGGCAATAGTGATCCTGCCCCACCCTGGCTGGCTGGGGAGAAGGATAGGAAGGAAGCTGTTGGTTTATTGGCATAAGTGGTCATCACTGGAGCTGGAGCTTGCATGGGTGCAGCAGGGCTAGAGAGCTGAAAGGGCTCCTGGAGATAACCCCCTCCCCCCATTTTATAGTTGAGTCCAAAGCCCAGAAAGGGGAAGGTGTTTACTCTAGGTCACACAGCAGGTTAGAGCCCAAGACCCCTGTCTCCTGTTTCCAAGTTGGAATCGTGATCTTGGCCCAAATAATTAAAAGCAATCTCAGCTGGTCTGTCGAGGACTTGCAACATACACTGTATTAAGCATTTTATGCGTTGGATCTCATTTTATCCTCAAATCAATTCAGGAATGAAGAGCCCCTTTTTACAGCTGAGGAAACACATTCAGAGCGGTGAGGACATTTGCCCAAGGCACTGTAGGAAGAGAGAAAAGCCATGTCTGCCGGCTTCCAGATGCAACAAACTCCCCCTCCACTACCCTGAAGGAGTCAGCCTCTGAAGATAGGGGCTTGCCCCGGTGGAATTCCCCAACTCCAGCCTAGCAGAGGCCACTCATTTCGGGCCAGGTGGAGCAGGGAGAGGAAGCTGAGTCCAGGAAGGCTTCCAGGGAAGAGAAAAGTGGGCAGAGCCTGGGAGTGGGGGGTGGGGCCCACAGAGGGGGTCTGACCAGGAAGTGGGATCACTAGGTTCAGAAAAAGGCCTCATCTTCTTCCCTTTGGCTGAGCAGTTGGGGCCTTCAGATGGGGGGCTCCTCCCTTTTTTCATGAAGTTCTCACAAGCGGTGCAGTTTGCAAAACCCAACCTTCCCCAATGGGCCTGTGGTTTCCTGTGGGTCTCTGTGGGTCTAGGGTCCTGCCTGACTCAGCAGTAGGGACTGTGGGCAGCAAGGAGAGGAGGAGGTGGTGTAAGCCCTTTCTTTGCCTTCTCACACTGGGGCTGCCAGCACACACACCTACACACACGCACACACATGCATACACCCTATCCCCTGAGTCAGCCTGGCGGTGAGGGGCGGGGTCACTGATTCAGTTAACACTGCCTCCTTAAAGCCCCCACCAGGGCAGCTGCAGCCAGACACTGCTCCTCTCACCATGAGCCCCTGGCTGTCCCTAGTCCTGGCTCTCCTGGTGCTGGGCTGTTGCTCTGCAGCCCCCAGACCACACCAGCCCACTGTTGTGGTCTTCCCAGGAGACCTGGGAACAACTCTCACCAACAAGCAGCTGGCAGAGGTAAGCAAACACCTCAGCCTAGAGTTGGAATCTCAGGGAGGGCACGGGCTCTCAGGAGATGCTTTGGGCCACACTGGGGGTAATGGGTACATCTAGAGACAGAGGTGTCTAGGATCAGGCACTGGGAGGGGGGCGTCCTGCGGAGGCTCTGGGCAGCGATGGTCAAGAATGGGTTCATGAGTCTCCTAGGTGGGCAATGGTAATAATATAGGGGTGGGGATCATTGGAGGGTTCTGGGGTGTGCATGGGCTGGGGGTGAACAGGGGTGAACCTTAGGGGCCCCTGAGGTCGGTATGGCCAGGAGCATCCAGGGCTGGGAAGGAACTAAGAATGTCTGCAGGGAGGGGAGATGCTTGGGTGGGCACAAGTACTGATGTCCAGGGTACCAAGTCCTGGGTACCATCACCGCCTTGTTGCTGGTCCTGAGCTCCTGGGGGGATGGAGTTCTGACCCAGGAGGGCAGAGAAAGGGAGTCAGTGCCCTGGATGTCCCTGCCCCTCCGTCCACAGGAGTACCTGCACCGCTATGGCTACACTCAAGTCATGGAGCTGAGCGACGACGATCAGGCCCTGAGTCGGGCGCTGCGGGTCCTCCAGAGACGCCTGTCTCTACCGGAGACCGGGGAGCTGGACAGCACCACCCTGGAGGCTATGCGCGCCCCGCGCTGTGGCGTCCCAGACCTGGGCAAATTCCAGACCTTTGAGGGCGACCTCAAGTGGAAGCACGAAAACATCACGTACTGGTGCGTGGCGGGGTCCCGCGGGGTCGGAGCGGGTGGGGTGAGGAGGCCGGTCTGACCCTCCCTGGGTGTCACTAAACGTGCAGCCTGCGGGAAGCGGGCCTCCCCCACTGAGCCCCCGTTCGCCCTTTGGGGAAGCGGGCCTCCCAGTCCCGGTCCTCCTGCCAGGGCCAGTGTGTGTCCAAAGAGGAAAATGCATCGGACCGCGCTTTACTGATGAAAGCCCGGAGCCGAGGTCGCCGAGGCACAGGGGGTGCCTGCCGCCCCGGCTCCCGCCGCTTACTCCCCTGGACCCTGTCCCCCGGCTCTTCCCTACAGGATCCAAAACTACTCGGAAGACTTGCCGCGCGACGTGATCGACGACGCCTTTGCCCGCGCCTTCGCGGTCTGGAGCGCCGTGACGCCGCTCACCTTCACTCGCGTGTACGGCCAGGAGGCCGACATCGTCATCCAGTTTGGTGTTCGGGGTGAGAGCGCGAGAGGGAAAAGCCAAGAGGGGCTGGGACGGGGACAGGGCGCCCCTGGGCGGCGCACAGCCTGCACCACCCGCACCCCTGCGCCCAGCTAACTCTCTTCCCTTCTGCTTCTCCAGAGCACGGAGACGGGTACCCCTTCGATGGGAAGGACGGGCTCCTGGCGCACGCCTTTCCTCCGGGCCCGGGCATCCAGGGAGACTCCCACTTCGACGATGAAGAGTTGTGGTCGCTGGGCAAGGGCGTGGGTGAGATCCCTTGCCGCCGAAGCCCCCCTTCCCTCTTCTCCTCACGCTGTCCCCAGCCGCCCTGACCCTGGCCCCCTCTCCCTGCAGTGGTCCCGACCTTCTTTGGAAACGCAGACGGCGCCCCCTGCCACTTCCCCTTCACCTTCGAGGGCCGCTCCTACTCCGCCTGCACCACGGACGGCCGCTCCGACGACCAGCTCTGGTGCAGCACCACGGCGGACTTTGACACGGACCGTCGGTTCGGCTTCTGCCCCAGCGAGAGTGAGTTCGGGGCCGCGGAGCCCTGGACCCTGGGTTGTCACCTCAGCGCGGCCACTCGTGTTGTGGGGTCTGCAAGCCGTTCTCCTGTCCTCTGGGCCCAGTTGACTCGCCCGTGACATGAGGAGAGGGGGGTGCAGGAGCGGTGGCCTGTGAGTTAGTGAACTCGGGGTGATGTGTGGGCCTCCCCAGGACTCTACACCCAGCACGGCAATTCCGACGGCAAGCCCTGCGTGTTTCCCTTCAC